AGAGAGAACCCCAGGGCTTCCTTCATTTCCTGAGGACTAGCAGCGGGAGAGAAATTCTGAGTTTCCCAACCTGCGACTCAAGAAACGGAAGATTTCTGGCCTCCCTTAAGTTCTTACTTTGCGCTAAAATTGGGAAGGGGGTTTCCTGGTGCTGCAGAGAGGAAGATGGCTGCCTTGGGAGGCCACCGCAGAAAACACTTCTGCACCCCAACAAAAGAGCTCTGCCTTTAAAAAAAACAAAAAAAAGCCCTCCTCTTGTCTCCAAAGAGTTGTGACCCATTCTTGCCTCAGTCGTTAAGTGAATCACTGCAGTTGTTAAGTTAGGAACACGGTTGTTAAGTGAATCTTGTTTCCCCATTGAATTTGCTGGTCAGAAAATTGGAAAATCTGATCCCGGGATGTGCAACTGTCATAAGTACATGCCAGTTGCCAAGTGTCTGAATTTTGATCCCGTGACTTCATGGGGATGCTGCAATGGCCGCGTGAAAAATGGTTATAAATCACTTTTTTCACTGCCGTTGTAACTTTGAACAAACAGTTGCAAGTCAAGAACTACCTGTACATATAAACTCTTAAAAGATTCAGTCATAAATTAAAGGCAGGAGTGACAATAAATTATGCTTAACTTTTAAAATTTATTTTGGGGCCAGGTAAGCAAAAATCAGAATAAGCTTTCTTTTGTTTTTTTCGTTTCACATCTTCTAAAATGTTCCATGAAGAATGAAGGTTTAAAGAAACATTCAAGTTTTCAAACCCTGGCTTTACAATTATATAAGAAATATATCTTTGTAAAATCTTTCATAAATATATTATATATGAATATATAATATATTTCAGGTAATTAATGAACTCAAGCTGGGAGAGCGATTTTCAGAGGCTTGGAATGTACAAAACAAACAGGCATTGTAAGAAAATAGCACTTTTTTTTTATTCCACCCCCAAAAGTACCTGCCTATTAAAAAATCTATTTTTAAAAAACCTTCTTGAAGCTTCATTTCTGTAAAGTAACTATTTTGAAACCATCTTGTGGTATTGCAAGAATATGCTGAATATTGATCTGGAATGGGGTAATCGCATGTGTGTGAATGAACCCAACTCATGCCAGACCTTTCCAGTAAACCAGATCAAAAATTCAGCTAAAGGAGCTAATTCTATTTTTTCTGTAAAGTTATATTAATAGCATCTTTCCCAAACTTCCCACCTGCAATTTTAACGGCCTGATCAGTTAAGGTGAACTCTTCCAAAGTCTCCTTCCTCTAACCATTTGGGAGCAATTGTCTTGTTTATTATTTATTGAATATATTTCTGGGCTGCCCATCTTCCTTCCCCATAAGGTGACTCTGGGTCGCAGAGTATAATTATTATTATTATAATTTGGTAACAGATTATAAAAAGATAAATAGAAAATAATTTAAAATATTAAAACACTATGCAAATTAAAAAGTTTAAAACTACTCCAAACTCCCTGTGGAGATTCTGTCATCCAGGTCATGGTTATCTCAAAAGTTGGGTTTTTTTTTTTTTCAAAAGGCAACTGGAGTTTGTTTTTCCTTGAAAATGTTCTTTTTTCATCCAAGAAGCTTCTTAGACGAGAAGCAAAACGCCTTCAAGGAAAAACGAAGTCCACGTTGCCTTTTGAAAGATCACCTTTGGAATATGCCAACTTCCCCAAGGACACCCGTCCGTTCCATTCCAAGCGGGGCTCATCTTCCTTAGTGGAACGGCTGATCGGTAGAATGGCTCCATGGTGGGTTCTTGAGTCCTCCTCAACTTCATTCCTCAACCCTAGTTCCAGAACTGGAACTCTGGTCTTACTCCTTTTTATATACCCCTGTTTTTTTGACTTCCTTATTCAACAGGTATGTCCCTTGATCCAATCAGTCCATCGCTTGAGATCCGTTCTGGGCCTGATGGGTTCCATGGAATTTATTCGTAGCAGAATCACCATCGTTCACGTTCAGTTCTGGTGGTTCTGGAGACCCTGGAGGACCGTCCATTTCCTCGCACAGGGGAACCTCTGCCTCCTTCGCCCTAACCCATCCACCCCCCCCACCCCCCCAATTAAAGTCTCAACTCCTCGACCCTGGAGTCAGTGCTCTTGTTTCCGCTGAGCTTCTGGGGAAAACAACGCTGGGCGAAGTTGCTGACTTGCTTCACACCTCAGGGGGGCTTTTCAGTCCAAGAAAGGGCTGATGGAGAGGAAGCTGGGAAGCCTACCGTGGACTTCCGCGCTTGTGCTGATTTCTCAGTCTTTAACAATGAGCTTCTCATCCACAGCAACAATGCTGGGATTCAAAGATTTTTTACTAGCGGTTCTGTGGGCGTGGCTTGGTGGGCGTGGCTTGGTGGGCGTGGCAGGGGAAGGAGGATACTGCAAAATCCCCCTTCCCTCCCCACCCCACTAACCTGCTTTCCAGCTCGGTTCTCCTGTGCAGGGCAACCAAAGAAGACCCAGCCAATCAGCTGGGACTCGGGAGGCGGACAGTACATGGGGGTGTGGCTTGGTGGGCGTGGCAGGGGAAGGAGGATACTACAAAATCCCCCTTCCCTCCCCACCCCACTAACCTGCTTTCCAGCTCCGTTCTCCTGCGCAGGGCAACCAAAGGAGACCCAGCCAATCAGCTGGGACTCAGGAGGCGGACAGGAGATGGGGGTGTGGCTTGGTGGGCGTGGCAGGGGAAGGAGGATACTACAAAATCCCCCTTCCCTCCCCACCCCACTAACCTGCTTTCCAGCTCCGTTCTCCTGTGCAGGGCAACCAAAGAAGACCCAGCCAATCAGCTGGGACTCGGGAGGCGGACAGGAGATGGGGGTGTGGCTTGGTGGGCGTGGTTTAGTGGGCGTGGCAGGGGAAGGAGGATACTACAAAATCCCCCTTCCCTCCCCACCCCACTAACCTGCTTTCCAGCTCCGTTCTCCTGTGCAGGGCAACCAAAGAAGACCCAGCCGATCGGCTGGGACTCAATGGGAGGCAGAGAATAGATGGGGGCGGGGCCAGTCAAAGGTGGGATTTGCCGGATCTCCAAATGACTCAAAATTTCTGCTACCGGTTCTTCAGAACCAGTCAGAACTTGCTGAACCCCACTTCTGGACAGCAACCTCTCCAACTGGAGATTAGCAAGCTACACAATGGACATCAACAGATGGAATGAACAAAAATATATACAGAGGAGAGCTGTAAGTGTTCCCCTCTTAATGTGAAATGGGGCAGAGGACTTTTGGACCAGTGATAAGTCAGGGAGTTGGGAATCGATTGGATTACACCCTTTGTCTTCTCCTAAGGGTCAACCAGAGGAAAAAGGCCGGAGGGTTCCCTGCACTTCCATGTTTTGGAACCAGCAGGAATGAAAATTGGCCTTCCGTTTCAAGTTGTTATGTGAGGCACTGGAACTGCTCCAGAGGAATCCAAATATATATATATATATATCTTGGAAGAACTCTTTAAAATGCCAGCAAGGAAACTAGACTGTTTTGACCGAGTTATCCACAAAACCTAGTATTTTCCCAAGTAACATGTTAGGTTTGAAGTTTATCTACAACCATCAGAACTTTCTCTACAGATATTTTTGAGTTATTATTTTGTTTGGATCCTTTTCTCTGCCGTAAAAATGCAAATGGGAACACACACATGTAGGCGATTAATCATTTCCAGTCGACATTCAGCTCTGCCACATATTTGATATTTTTTCAACCATGAAGAACACTTTCTTTCAAAGAAAGGAAAACTGGGGGGGGAAAAAATCACTCCACCTTAATGCACGGAAGCAAAAGTGATGAAAGATTTCTTAGCTCTTACAGAGATGGAAAAAGGATTATTTCGGCTGTCAAATTTTTGGATTTAATATTAACATAGTACAGAATGCATGTCCAGATAATTGTTGCAACCCAGGAAAAGCAATTTTTTTGTTTTGTTTTTTATAAAGAAAAATTGGTATTAAACTAATGTGTTGAAGGACTATACAGCTATACATTTTTCTAAGATTTCTCAGGAATTCAGAAAAACAATCTTGAATAATCTTCCTCTATTTTTAATAAGTTAAAATCCTTAAATCTGATGAAAAAATTAAATGTATACATTAATGAACATATGTTAATATCTATAAATAATTTTACAAATATACATGTTAAAATATAAATTCTTAAAACAAATCAAGCTGACAAGATAAAAGAAAACCTTTGCCTAAATCAGTATGTCCTACTCTGGAAGAATTCTTAACTGGAATAAATTCTTCTTCAGTCTTGTCAGCCATGTTAATATCAGAGATATTATATACACACAAGAGCTATTTATAGATATATGCACAATTGTAGGAAATAAAACTTAAAAAGCGATTCGTTGAAAGGCGCAAGACTATGGGGTACCCGTAATACCTTTTGTTTTTTTCTCTCTCTCTCTCCAAGTGTTTGATAATAGATTTCTGGGACAAATTTATAGACCTCCGTTACAAATATATTTAAACTTTATCTAGAAAAAAAACTCACCCAGAAAATAGCTAAATAAATGTAGCAAATAGCAGAATTTCAATTTGATGCACATTACAGTTCATAGAAACCCCCTGGAAAAGTTAGCCAAAGTCACTGCTATGTGCTCATTAACAAATGACACACGCGCACACCCCAACACACACACACACACACACACACACTTTTCTAGAGCTTGCAACACCTCCAGGCCTTCACGTCTCGTCTTGCCTGCACACACTCACTTATCCAGCCATTAGTGCAAGAGGGCGGCGTACTTCCCACCATGAGAAAAGTGAAGGCAAACTTAACCAGAGGTTTAACGCTTTCGAGAGTGATTAACTCCTCCAAATGGCTTTGAAACGCGTCCTCAAGGAGATGGCGACATTTTATATCTATTTATTCACTATAAAAACCAGTACTTACTTAAGATTCCCTGCAGGCAACGTGGCTACCAAGCCCCGCCAAAGGAGAGTCGTGCACGGATGGGCACGAGGGCAAAGTTTCCTACGTTCTTTGCACGTGGTTGTGGATTTTTATTGTTTCGTTTCGTTTTCCCCACCCACTCCTAGAATTTGCAGGCATAGAAAATGGCACTCAGAGGCTGGAGGTTTCCCATCCTCTCCTTTGCCTTTCTTGGTTTCCAGGTAGAGGTGGGATTCAAATTTTTTTTTACTACCAGTTGGACGTGGCTTGGTGGGTGTGGCAGGGGAAGGAGACTGTAAAATCTCCAGTCAGAGGCGGCATTTGCGGTTCTCCAAACTACTCAAAATTTCTGCTACTGGTTTTCCAGAATGCCACCGCTGTTTCCGGGAGTTTGACAAGAAAAGTAGGAAGAAAACACGTTCGGCGTGCCACGGCTTCGTGGCCACACCCGCCTCCGTGCCGTGGAGCAGAATAACGTCTCTTCCTCCTCCAGATCTGGTCCCGGAGTCCCGCCTCAGACATACATTCACGAATCTCGTGTTTGAGGCTCAGTCTCTGTCCTCATGTCCTGACGATGCCGTTGGCCGGCTGTTTTGGGAGGCAGGGCTCCTCCGAGAGCAGCTCGTGTGCAAATACGGAGTCATCTCCCGAAGAGGAGGCACTGTGGGTGTCGTGGCCTTTGGGGGAGTATTGCTCGAAGGCCACGGACAGGTCGATGTATTCCTACGAGGAGAACAACGGGCGTGAATATCATCAAGGAGCAGGCGCGACAAGTGCCACGTCTCACCTCCAATGGGGGAAGCCAATGGGGTCTCCACACGCTAAGGGCCTGTGGCCTGCTTTTGAGGATCTAGCTGTGGTTTAATGGCAGCTTGTTAGGACTCAAGTTTCAACTCCTTCCCTCAATACGATGCTATAAAGCTCTGCACACCAGAACAACTAGACACAAGGACAGGTTTTTCCCCAACACCATCCCACTGCTAAACAAATAATTCCCTCAACACTGTCCAACTATTTACTAAGTCTCCACTACTTTCACTATTAATCTCATCACTCCTTATCTCTCATCCCCTCCCACTTGTGACTGTATGACTGTAACTGTCACTCGTATCCTTACGATTTGTATTGACTGTTTCCTAGTAGGATTTCATTGCTTATTGTACCCTATGACTATCACTAACTGTTGTACCTGATGATTCTTGACTCTTGACGAATGTCTCTTTTCTTTTATGTACACTGAGAGCATTTGCACCAAAGACAAATTCCTTCTGTGTCCAAACACCCTTGGCCAATAAAGAATTCTATTCTATTCTATTCTGTTCTGTTGTTGTTCTGTTCTCTACTCTTCTGTTCTTATTCTCTTCTCTTCTTATTCTCTTCTCTTCTCTTCTCTTCTCTTCTCTTCTCTTCTCTTCTCTTCTCTTCTATTCTATTCTATTCTATTCTATCCTCAAATGAAATCAGGATTCCAAATATCAGTGCAGAGGCATTGTGGAGCAGGGCCCGTGGTCCATACCGAGCTAAGGCAAGGATTCCATGAAGAGCCACGGTGCAACAACAGACACGGTTTCTCCTATATAACCTTGTCCAACTACTGAATTTCTCCTCCTGGGCAGCTACTTGGAAAAAGCTCAGCCCCCCCTTGGAGTGGAGACACAGCTTATGGCATTTGGGCCCATTCTCTAGTAGATTTGCTCTGCGACACCTGAAATAGTTTGCAAACGATACTCAATTCTTTCTGGGACTTGGGTACTTTTTGCTACTTTTTTTGTCCCATAGCTCTTTTCTACCGGCCGTCGTTTTTTAAAAAAAAAAAAATTGAAAATGCACTGTTTTTAAAATTCTGCCTGAGGAACGGAGGGGCACATTAAAGTATTCCAAACAAAGAAACTAAATCATGTCAATAGTTGCATGAAAGTTAAAGGGTGACACCGCAGCCATGACGATGCCTTCTCCTGTGGCGCTGACTGCAGCCTCTGCCCTGAACTGCTCCCTGTAGCTCTCTCTGCTCCTAAAACGGTGGCAAGGCTGGCAAATGCTCGGGGGCCTACTCTCTTGAGTACTGGGGGTGGTGCGGGGGGCACAAGAGCTCTCCTGATGAAGAACGGAGGAGGTACGTACGTCGGTGGAGGTGACCGTCAGCACGCGGTCCAGGTCTTCTACCAGCTGCTTAAAAGTTGGCCTCTGAGAAGGCACCGCATGCCAGCACTCCCGGATGATCATGTACCTGGGAAAGGGAAGGGCCGCCAGTCAGCTTTCCCTCAGCCCGGCGGAGAGAGAGGGCGGGGGCGGGGGGGCAGGCTGTCTGGGCTGCCCGTGGTTTCTACCCAGGTGCACCCCCAAAACAAACTAAAGAAGGCTCCGGTTGTCCCAAAAGTCAGAGGGAAGAGCCACGCAGTGACAGCTTTTAGATTTGTAACCCATATGGATGGCAGAAACGTTCGAGGGAGCATCCATGTTGGTCCCTCTTCTTGTTTTTCCTCACAACAACAACCCTGTGAGGTGGGCTGGACTGAGAGAGAAGGAGAGAAGGGGGAGGAAGCGGGAGAGAGGGGCGAGAGGGAGAGAGGGAAAAGGGGGAAGAGGAGGGAGAGAGACAAAAGGAGAGAGAGAGAGGGAGAGGAGAGGGATGGAAGAAAAGAGGGAGAGGAGGGTGGAGAATGTGTCACTTCTGGGTGAAGGTGAACCTGCGTCTTCTTACTCCTAGCCCACCACCCTCCGCTTATTCCGCGCTGCTCCTGGGGCTGAGCCCACACAGAGAGCAACAGGATGAGCTTGGAGCTGATCCAGAGGATCGTCCAAAAATGCCTCCGGCTCCCCCGGAGTGAAGCAGGGCCCTGAACCCCCGAGGAAAGCCCACGGAAGGGGAAGGGCTGGCCTCGGGGGGCTCTGGGGGCTGCCTGGAAACTGGACCGAAACCTTTTGGCCGCTTTGAGGGGCTGCATCCTCGTCCAGCTGTCGAGCCGAAATAGAAGGAGCCCTTTTGGGATCACGCTGAGTTTGGGTGGGGCTCTTTTGGGGAGACCGGTCCCCACCTGGGGGAATGGGCTTAAAGCGTCCAGAGGACCTTCTGAGGTTGAGAGGACACTTGGTTGAGTTTGGGGTGGCTATAGAGAAGGAAGGAAGGAAGGAGAGAAGAAGGGAGGAAGAAAGGGAGGACGAAGGAAGGAAGGAAGGAAGGAAGGAAGGAAGGAAGGAGATAAGGAAGGAAGGAAGGAAGGAAGGAAGGAAGGAAGGAAGGAAGGAAGGAAGGAAGGAAGGAAGGAGAGAAGAAGGTAGGAAGAAAGGGAGGGAGGACGAAGGAAGG